GGTGAGCTGCCTCCTGCCAGGACTGGACCGAGCCTTGTAAGGGTGACTGTCGGGGAGGAAGAACCTTGGGGCCATGGTCGTGGAGGAGCCAGAGGGACCCCACAGTCCTGCAGATGGTCGAGGGGGCGGGGAGAAAGTGTCATGGGGCAGTTGGGTTGCTTCCTGGCCCGAGGGGTATCTCCCGGCCTGGGGAGCCCCTGGAAAAACAGCTTTCCTTGAACTGCAGCCAGCATAGCCCTTTCCACCGTCTCCGAGTCAGGTGGAGGGGGGGAGGGACAGCAGGGGCTCGGGGGGCTGGCCAGGCCGGCTGTGGTCAAGGGACAGGGGCCTCCTCTCCCAGAGAGAGGGTCCCCCAGAAATGCCTGTAATTACAAGGGGTGGATGCCTGGGCCGGCCAGGGTGGGAGGAGGGAAGTGAGTGGGCAGAGTTTCTGTCCTATTCTGAGGGACGTTTCCTGGCCCATCAGTTAAGAGAAAAGCGCAGGGTAATTCCTGGTTTGTCTCTAGGTTTCTAAGAAGACTGTGTCCTCAGGAAGGCCCAGCCCCACCAGAGCGCCCTGCTGGCTGCATCAGGCAGGGAGGGCGGGGCTGATGCCCAGTAAAGGCTGCCTCTCCCATGGGCTGCTTTGGCGGTTCTCTTTGGGGAGGGGGTGCCTGGAAGGCACCCGTGTGCCCGGCCGGTAACCTCGCGAGGCCGATGTGTATTTTTCTCCTGAGGATCTCGGCTGATGGATGGTTAACGACATCTTCAAAGGCCGCCCTGTTGATGGAGGGGGACTTTGCAGTTTAATGATCTCCCAGGCTGTGTGTTTCTTTGCATAAGCTAAGCTTGGTCGCCTTTGATCCTGAAACACAATGAAAAGGGGTGGCAGTGGCAGCTTCCGGTGTGGGGGGGCCCACCTGTGCCAGCAGCCCTGACGGTGATCCCACTGTGATCTCTGCAGACGCCCAGTGGCCCTGCTTCACCAGATCACAAATGCAGCTCCTGGCCATCCTGGAGGTTTGGGGGAGGGGGTCCCCCATCCGGCATGAGGATGAACAGAGATGGGGCTGCCCGGAACCCTGCCCAGTGTGGGTGTCGTCCTCACCTGGGCTCCTGCCTGGACGTTTGTCACCTGTTGGGGAGACCAGACTGTGCTGTCACAGCTGCTTTCCCATTTGAGAGATGAAAAGGCAGAAGGGAAATGGTTCTGCAGGAATGAATTTGCGTGACAGGTTAGGACCCACGCGAACTCTCTTTTAGTCACTTGGAGCCTGCTCTCCTCAGATGTGATGGCCATGGCCTCGTCCACCTAGGGTGGAGGCAGTGGCGGTGAGGATGGGTGGAACCATCAGTTCCCTGCATCCATGGGGAGTGGTATCACCCTCATCCGCTGCCCTAAGGTGCCCCCAGGTGGGTCTCTCTTCTAGAACACACTTCCCAGACCCAGTGCAGTGTCTTCTGGAGCCTTGGCCAAGGAAGGGGCTGCCACACAGGGTCAGGCAGAAACCCTGCCCTCAGGTGCCTGTTGGGGCAGTGTTTGCTCCAGCCTCCGGATTGAGCCCCCTCCCTGCCAGGAGTGTGGTTGGGGCCGGAGTGGGTGGTCAGGCCTAGGTGAGCAAGGAGACCTGTTGCTATCAGAGGCTGGGCGCCTCAGGGCACCTCACTGCAGGTGTCAGCCTACTGTCAGGGTGAGTACTGAGGTGGGGCCCCCGACCCACAAGGCCTCAGGTCTCATGGGATCCCCTCCGTTTGGAGACAGGCCTTCCCTGTGGTGACACCTGGATCACAGACATCTGCCCTCCAGGACTGAGAGAGGGTACATGTCGGCTGAGCTGAGAGCAGCTGACCTTGGCAGCTCCTCCACCTCATGCCCAGGAGCCAGATGGTGGACTCAGGGCCTGGATGGGCAGTGGCAGTGCAAGGAGGGGCCATCACCCATGTCCACCCTGTCCCAGCGCCTTGTCCCACCTCCCCCAGGCTTCCCATGTGCCCCCACTTGGGGCCAGGGCGGTCATCCACGGATGACCATGGCTTACAGTCCTGCCATGGCACTGGGCGGGCGGGGTGCACACAGGACTGGCCTAGGATTCTGACCCATCTGTGCGGGGCCAGCGCCGGGAGCCCGGGGCCGCTGCTGAGCCAGTGGGAAGCTATTTGGGTTTCTCGGCACGTCTCTCCTGGAGTTTCTTAGATGTGAATGGAAAAGGCTTGGATTCCTATTGCACGTCACACAGCAGGGCAAGATGGTCTCTCATGGAATCTCTTCCCACTCAATTCTTATTTGCATCAGTGTCATATGTGTGCAAATTTTAAAGAAACTAATGAAAGCATTTATCTCCTTGTTCCTGAAGGACCCACTTATTCTGCTGTCCCTTGTTTCATGGGTTTTCAGTTTAGGCGTTATTCACAGACTCCTCTGTGGAAAAATGTTGCAATCTTATAATCCGTATTTCTTGGCCACACGTGCACACAAGCGTAAGGTTTGGCTACATCAAGATTCAGTGTTATAGTAGAAATTGCAGCTTATCCATGTGGGTAATTATGAATATATTTTACTTCTGTTCAGCTCTGTTCTCTGCAGAGCTGACTGGCCTCAGTCTGTGGCTGCTTTATATGTATACTAGAGGCCTGGTGCATGAAAATTCATGCACTGGACGGGGGTCCCGAAGCCTGGCCTGCCCCCTCTCACAGTCCGGGAGCCCTCAGGGGCAGGAGGCAACCTGGTGATCAGGGGAAGGCGATCCCCCATCACACCTCTGCTGCTGCCACTGCCTGCAGCGCAAGCCTCGGGTGGCCTTGGTTACCTGTGCCTTGGGCTGTCCTGGGCGGCTGGAGGGCTGAGGGGACTGGGGGACTCCAGAGGCAGGCGTGCATGCAGGGTGGCCAGGCCTGCCTGGGGATAGGCCCAGCCTTGCCGTGCATCTGCCGCCCTGGTGGGGCTGAGGGGACTGGGTGCACCGTCTTGTGGCTGTGGGCGCCACCATCTTTGAGGGCATGGAAGTCAATTAACATATTCCCTCCTTATTGGCTGTGGGCACCACCATCTTTGCAACAGCATGAGAGTCAATTAGCATATCCCCTCTTTATTAGACAGGATATATGCTTTATTTCCCACCAGAGAATATTTTTCCATTGGTGTTTAGGGAGAGTGGAAGAGAGAGGGAAGACAGAGAGAAACATTGATGTGAGAGAAACACATCGATTGGTTGCCTCCCACACGAGCCCTGACCAGGGCCTGGGCTGGGGAGGAGCCTGCAACCCAGGTACATGCCCTTGACCGGAATCGAACCCAGGACCCTTTGGTCCACAGACTGGTGCTCTATCCACTGAGCCAAACCGGCCAGGGCAGTTTTTATATTTTTATCCCTTGTTTGTCCCCAGCCCTCTAAGGGAAATTGAACTCTCTCATGTCGGCAGCACGTGAGGTATTTGTTTCAGTCTGTGATCACCGTGCGAACCAACTTCCCCAAAGCACAGTGGCTTAAAGCTGCTGTGTTATCATTCATGATTCTTTTTCTTTTCATTGATTTCTGAGAGGAAGGGAGAGGGGGAGAGAGGAGAGAGAGAGAGAGAGAGAGAAACATCAATGATGAGAGAGAATCATGGATCGGCTGCCTCCTGCACGCCCTACACTGGGGATGGAGCCCACAACCCTGGCATGTGCCCTGACTGGGAATCCACCTGTGACCACCTGGTTCCTAGGTCGATGACGCTCAACACCAGCCGGGTTCTCATGATTGTCCCCTGGCTCCTCCCCTGCCTGAGGCCTCAGCCGGGGCACTGGTACAGGCCAGATAGAGTGGCCATCCGCCCCCGACAGGCACACGCTGTCATCCTCTCTCACTCACACGCAGGGCCCTCCAGCCGGCTGGATGGGCTTCTGCCCTGCATGAGGCCTCAGGACAGTCGGTGCTGTCATCTTGGGGCCGGGCCAGAGCCCTGCACAGATCACTTCTGCCTCTTGTGTTGGGGAAGCCTCAGGGGTGGGTGGGGAGACTCCTCCCCTCCCGGGGGGCGGGGCAGCGGGATCTGTGGCCCCTCCTGTTCCTGGAGCCTGACCCTGTGGACTCCAGGCTGCTCTAGCCTGGCCTCTCCCTCCCCTGGCCTCTCCCCCTCTTTCCTGTTTCCTGGGCCCCTGCCCCTCTCTGTCCCTCCAGGCACCTCCTGGGTCACACGTGGCATTGCAGACCTGCCATGCCTCCTCCACCGCCTGACTAGCGGGAGTGGGGAATGCTTTTCCTTTTCTGAAGGCCAGGCTGCTTTTCGGAGGGTGGGGGGTGAAGGGGGGGAAGTCCCTGAGACAACTGGGCGAAGTGCCTGTTTGTCCCTGTGGCCAGGCCTGCCCGCTCTGGGATGGCCTTCCAGAGGCCAGTGGTCAGATGGGAGGTGGGGACACAGTGAAAAGCAGAGCTGAAGCCCATGGTCCCTGGAAAAGGATTTTCTATTTGAGGGTGTGTCCCTCCCCCACCCGGGGAGTTTCCCCAGGCCTGGGGGGTAGGGGCCTGGACTTGGGGGAGTGACTCCATAGGATATGCCAGTCACAAGCCCCCTGACAGTCACACACTGGGGTCCTTCTGAGCCATGAACCAGGGCCATGTGCACAGCCATTAGCTCCCCCAAACCCCGGCCCAGAGGAGCCCGAAGGACCTAGAACAGCAGCATCCCCTCAGCACGTGTGTGTCTGGCCAGGGCTGCGGGCTTTAGGGTGAGTCCTGAAGTCCGGGCCCTCGAGGCCTCAGCAGCCTGCATCTTCCCCCAGATAGTTCAGGGCCCCTGGTAGTGGGAGGGGCTCAGGGGTCCCTGCCCAGGACAGGAGCAGCAGGCACTGTGTGGCCCAGTGGCCGAGGCACACAGGGAGGCGGGACTCTGAGATGGTGAGGGTCCGTGGGAGCTGGGGTGCTGGGGAGAGGCTGAGAAGATGCCCAGTAGATGCTCAGGCCTGGTGCTTGGACCCCAAGGGACCTGTGCCATACATACTTGGCCCCTGGTAACCTCTGCCCCTTTCTGCTTCTCACAAGGTCACCGACGATGAGGGCATGGCCGTTCTCCTGGAGCTTCCGACTTCGGGGGTGTCCTCCATGCCCCCCATTCCTTCCGAGGGGCCCCGCGTGCCTTCTGGCCGGCTGCGTGCAGAACCACGCCAGGCCCGCGGTGGTCAGCCTGGCGCCGGGCTTCCTGGGAGGAGCAGGTGTGTCTGGCTGTAAGGACAGAACCACAGGAGCGCCGCGGGGCCTGGCGGCTGAATGTATTTATTCTCCTGACGCAGACGTTCGCTTTTCTGGCTGTGGAGCAGCGGGAGCCCGGGTCCCCCTCACCCCCTGCGGCCTCATCCCTCCTGGGCAGGGCTGTCAGCTCAGGGCCTCCCTGCAGGCTCCAGGACACCAATTGCACGTGTGGGTCCTTCAAGCCCTCACAGGGTCTCTGTGGACTAGAGGGGCGGACACCCTCCCTCCTCCTCCCCGCTCACCCGGAGCTTGGGTCCTACCCGGTGCCCAGCACAGGCTCCAGGGCCCCCGCCCCCAAGATGCCAGGAGGTACCCGTATGTGTGAGGCCATGAGGGCTGTCACTTCGATAACAGACTTGACCACAGAAAGGACAAAACGTCGCTCTGCTGTTTGTAAGTGTGTGTTCCTTTCCCTCTTTTGTCACTTTAAAGACCAAAAAGAAATAAGGAAGAAAAAAAATGAGTTTTGCTCTTTCTTTGTTCAGCGTTTTTGAGAATAGAGGGAGCTGTGTGTCCACTGATACCTGTGCCCCCAGAGCTCGGCTGCCCTGTTGAAGGGACCCCGCCCATGTTGAGGTCTACCCCCCAAGAGATGGCCACCTGTTCCCAGCTCTGCTGCTCGGGGAGGCAGTGGGTTCTGCCTCCCTGGAGCCCTGTAGGTGACACCGACGTCCCCAGTGGGGTCCTCTGGGTCCCCTCTCCAGGGAGCCCCCTTCCTGCCCCTGCCTTGGGGTCTCAGCAGAGCCAAGGCCCCGCGAGGGGCAGGTGGCCTGGCCTCCGAGTGCCAGGACCCACCTTGAGGGGAGAAGTGGCTGCCCAACGGGTGTCACCTGGGTCTGGGGAAGTACGAGGCAGAGAGAGACAGGGCGTCCTTTGTAAGCTGGGCATTGCCCCCTGGAGAAACATGTCTTAAATGGAGTGACTCGGCTCAGGTTCCCGGAGATGGTCAGCCATGTGCAGCTCTGGCCTGGACACTTTTACTCCTGACCACCCAGCCGGGGTCCCCGAGCTCAGGTGCAAGGACAGAGACCCGTACAGGAGCTTTGGATTCAGCAGCAGCATCTCAAGCTCCAGGGCTGGGCGAGGCCCTGCAGGAGACACGCAGGCCCTGCCCCGGGCCAACCCCTCCTAAAGGCCAGCTGAGGTCCAGCCCCCAAATGACCCTCAGGCCTGTAGGCTCCTGGTCTCTCGGCTGTCCAGTCCCTGATGGCCCAATGCTGTCCAGTCCTGCTGGGTGCCGTCCTGCTCTGGGCCTGAGTCCGCCGTGCCCACAGCCACCCCCTAGCTCAGGTGCCCAGGATGGGGTGCCTCTCTCAGGGCTGCCCTCGCTAAAGCCCTCTCAGCCCGTTTGAGGGGCTGGACGGAGCCGAGTCCTGGCTGCTCCCACTGGAGCTGGCCAGTTCTCCACCCCCACCCTACCCAGCCAGGGATGCTGGCCCCTGGGTGTGCTGGGACAGACAGCAGTTGTAATTAAAAGGGAAGGCGGCGGCGTGTGTTTTTAAGGCTTTGTGACTGTTTCTTTAGGCAGCAAATTAATCATGTTTTCATGTCAGTGTGATTTCATGGTGCTCACACCCTGCTTGGCTGTGTGGTCGTCATCCATCCCGGGATCTGGGAAGTGAGCGAGACCCCATACCTGGGCTGGTGCCCCTCCTTCCTGGGTGACGTCCGGGTGCCATGGTGACATCGGCACTCTGCCCTTCCCTTACCCAGCCACCCCTCCAGAGAGGACCCCGCACAATGGGGTGGGAAGTGGGTGCGCTTCCCTGGGGGCGAGGGCGCTTGGGAACACCTCCTCCCTGGGACAGGCTGGGAGAGGGAAGCCATGCCAGCCTGTGAGGCCTGCTGGGCCCTGGGTCGGTGACGCTGTCACCAAGGCCGGCCTCCCTCCCTGCCCCGCCCGCCGGAGAAGGCACCCTGGCAGCCCCGGCCGATTTATTTTTAGCCCTGCCTGATGCCAAGATTGGCCTTCTCACCTCAGATCAGAAATCGGAGGGTGAGGCCCGCAGGCCTCTGATGGCAGGGCAGCCAGTCTGAAGAGCAGGA